TTTATAAGGATTATGTTACTAAAGTAGGTGAGGACTAGCGGAATACAGAATGTTCACTTAGGAAAGTAAATGGTCACTTAGTGATTATAGTGAAGTTGTGTTCACTTTGAATACATAGTCATATCGTCATCATACTCTGCAGCACTGAGGACTGTCCACTGCCAGAGAATATATGAAGCACTGCCTAACCTGGAACAGGCATGGATCGCCAGGAGCACTTGCCATAATGTGATGAGCATACTTGGGCCATCAGGCAAACTATCCACTGAGCAAAATGTGCTCAGTGTATGGCCCTGTCTATCAGCTCCTGGCTGACTGAAAAATCAGCCAGGAGCTGATAGACGGCAAATTCTCGGCCGAACAGCGTCTGCATCCAATCGGATGCAGGCACTATTCAGGTATTTTGATAGCTGGCAGGCTGACTGTCAATGTACAATACTGGCAGCAGGAGATTCCTCAAGTCATGTTGTTTAGAGTGGATGGAGAAATCTGTAGGGCTGCAACAACTAATCGACATAATCGATGATTGAAAAAGTTATCAACTTTTTCAATCATCGATTAATCGGCTTACGATTGGTTGGCCCTGTTCACGGCTCCACACACGCTGCGCGCCACACCTCCCACCTCATGCTCGCCGCTGCCAGACCCGCCCGCATTCCCGCTCCACACGCCGCACCACCTCCCCGCCTCATGCTCATAGCTATAGAGGAATACAAATCCCAGCAATACATTATACACTGTATGTATAATGTACTATTGCTGGGATTTGTTGTATTCCTATATAGCTGGTGGTATTCTGCATTGCGCTGTATAGAGGACTAATTACAAATCAAGGAATAATACATTATGCAGCTCAATGCTGAATACCACCAGCTATAGAGTACAACAAATCCCAGCAATAGTACATTATACAGTGGTGTAATGCCGAATACCACCAGCTACAAGTGAAACTCGAAAAATTAGAATATCGTGCAAAAGTTCATTTATTTCACTAATGCAACTTAAGGCCCCATTCACACCTATGCGTATTGTAATATGCGCATCTGTCGCGCGACCGTCACGCGTTTTTTTTACCGCAATTCACGGTAAAAAAGTCGCGCGACCGTTAATAATCGGCTAACTAATCGATTTTGAAAATAATTGTTAGCTGCAGCTCTAGAAATCTGATAGATTTTTTTTTTTGTTCAGCCCAGAACATAACTGTGTATACCCATCTTTAGTTTGTCCTCCGCCAATGATGAAAGGTTCATGTTCAAAGCCATCTTCTATGCAGATTCTTCTGGGCCAGCATCTTCAGCCATTCGGCCATAAGTGGCCACTAAAGTTACAACTTCCAAGAATGTGCGCTGGAGTGACATTGCCCAGGCCAGAATATTTCAACCTCATGCCATCCTTTAAAAGTGTGTAAAATCTTGATCCACCCCAGTCTAAAATGTCATTGAATTTAACAGGGACAACACAGAAAAAAGTGGGTTCCCCTTTACAGAAGAGTTTCCCTTTGCATCAGTAGCCCCACTTTCACAGCAGAAGCCCAATTTTTATCTGAAAGACACTCTTTGAATCAGTAGCCCCCCTTTCACATCAGAAGCCCCATTTCTATATCAAATCCCCCCACCCTTTTGCACCAGAGATTCATTGTTTCAGTAGCCCCCCTTTCACATCAGAATCCCCTTCATATCCGAGTCCCCCCTTTACATCAGAAGCCCCCTTCCCCTCAGTCTTCATTCCCCCCTTCACATCACAGTCCCATTACCACAAAATTCTGAGGCAGCCCAGAGGGAGCCAGAAGGCACATCTGTGTGTCACGGAACCCTGGATGAGAAAGGCTTGTCCAGCCATTTGACTGAACTTCTGGCAACTTACAGATGCCCATATTGTGCACTCCACATGCACCGCAGACAGTATGCGGTTGAACACAATTAGTAGCAGACAGGTATCGGAGGGGGTTTTTTTGGGCAGAAGAGACACAAAAAATGCTAGCAGTATTGCAGGGTGACTTCAGTTCTGCTTTAAAGTGACATTAAAGTCACATTTGCCGCCCCCCCATGCTGCTTTAAGGACTTACCTTAAACTATGCCTTTTGATCTTATCTTTCCAGAAGATCCCTCCAGTGCTGGTGCCGGTCTCTGATCCAGCGCTGACTGTGATCCCAGCTGCGTGCATTGACTTACACTGTGTCTCTCCTCTTCTCCAGGCCGAAGATCTCTGCTGCGCATGCGTCCGCCCCGTGATCCTTCGTTGCCGCTCAAAAATCTTCAGATCTTCGGACGGGAGCGAGCGGCGCAGACACAGGTAAGTTTTTTTTAATGTTTTTGCCTATATCCACTGCTTGCTAGCAGCAGATATATGCAACTTTAAACTTGCTCTGACTAGATGTGTAAAAAAAAACTTATTCAAGTGGCTTTGAAAACCGATTGACAAAAAACCTACAGTGACTGAGATCCCTCAGCAAAATAAATAAATATTTAGATTGAACAAGTAACACAATGGAAGAATAATATTGAAAAACATTGATCAAACTGTAGTCAAGTGGGAATTCCCCACTACACGGCCCATCCTGCTCTATTAGTCATAACAGATAACAAAGTCATAAAATACCTTTGCTGCACAAAGCGCAGCTTAACAGTCCAACACCAGCAGATCACATGAGTAGACACCTAGAAAAACTCCAGGCACCCCGAACTGCAAGGGTTAATCGCTCATTTTTATCCTAGGGTACCAAGAAAAAGGACTATTACTTACCTAATCCCTAATCACCCAGCAGCTGGCACTCAACTCTTCATCCCGACGAGCTGCACTGTGGGTGCTCCCTCAAGGGTCCTCATGTACAATGCAGGGCTATTGGAACTGTATTGTAATTGATGGCACCAGAGTGCCCGCGACAGAAGAGGCACCTTAACGCCGGGTTCCCACATAGGTGGCATGGCATCATTTTTGCGCGTTTAATGCAAGTGTTCACTGTGCGGTTATTTACACGTGTTGTACATTTGTACGTGCATACATGAAGACAAGCGTTTTGACTGTCAGCTTATGAAACATTGCGGGCAATGGACAAACGCGCATTTAAACATGCAAAAACAAGCGCGGAAATGTGCAACGTGCTTCTGCTGCCTGTTTTTGTCCGTTTCCATTGAAGTCTATGGGGCAAAAACACACTCTTAACTGCCCAAAGAAGCTCACGTACCTTTTCGGGCGTTTGGCATTTTCCTGTTGGCGTTTTGCTGATCAGGTCTGAACAGAAGCCATTGAAAATCATGGGATTTCTTGTGTTGGACATTTAAAAGCACTTTTCCAACTGCTCAAAAACACCTAGGTGTGAACCAAGCCTAAGTCGGGTATACACGTGTCTATGTTTTTCATTCAACCTGCAGGCTTAATAATAAGAATAGAACAGATTCCTCCATCAAAGCTTATGACCATTGATAGACGAATCCCCTGTTGTTTTTCATTGTACTCTGACAGCAGCCGTGACTGCCGACAGGATATCCGAACAGAGCTGGGAGCCGATTGACTGCCAGCTTTGTTCGGCCAAGAATTTTCCAACCTGCTCCTTCAATCAGCTGATTGAGGGGTTCTGGGCGGAAGGATGCCGACAGTGGCACACATTGTGAATTTCCTGATGAACCGGGCTGAGATTCATAGCATGTGGATCCTACTTAAGCCTGCCTGAGCTTAGCACATTGCAGGTGATTATTTTTTTTGTGTATTGCACATATTAGACCTGTGACATTGTCACAGGTCGGCTAGAACTAGGAGGTGAGTGAAAAGCACTCACCTCATTGTTCTCCTTTAAGTGTTTTTGTATCAGCCAATAGAAAGCTAGTAACTAGGAGGAGGAGATAGCGGTTAGGCGCATAATGTTTTTTAGTCATTCTCATTTAAATCTACGGGGTAATTCTGCCTGAAAAGAAGGGCACTGTTGAAAACAATGGGATTCTTCATGTTGAGCATTGCGGCTTTTTAAAAAAACATGCAATAAGATGTTCAGGTGTGAATGGGGGCTAAAGAGGCTTCAGGGGGGCAGATTGCATAGCATAGAGGCAGCCTTCAGGAGCGAGGGATTAGGTAAGTAAAAGGTACCCTAGACACAAGCGAGCATTTAGCCCTGGCAGTGTGGGGGGACCCCATGGCAAGGGGATTTTTAAGGCTACATAAAAAATAGATTTTCTTTTTTTCATGATCTGAACGCAGGAGTATTGTTTTTATTGGGTACATGCACACAGCTGAGTAAACATGCGCAGCATTCAAACCATAACAAAAAATATCTGCGTCTGAGTGCACACGTTTTTACATGTGTAAATGCATGCGTATGCGGGAAAATTAAGTCTAAACAGAATACAATACAATGAAAATAGACCAGAAGAGACAGAATGAGAATTTTACACATGTAAACGCATACGGGTTTACACAAGCATATTAGTGGTCATTTCTGCGTGAACTTTTTGGCCTCTAAAGGCATGCGTATACGGTCAGTAAATTCTTAAGGCTGTGTGCATGTAGTCCAGGGGTGGACAAATTAATTTGGAATCCAGGAGCCAGCTCCATTGACAACAACTAGAGAAAAACTCAAACGTTAGGAGCCAGCTGTTATTTATAAGGAGTGTTGGCTAACTGGCTCCTGGAATTTGCCCAGCCCTGTTGTGGCCTAAAGAAAATATAGCTTACAGCAAGAGTAGACAACCATGGCACTCCAGCTGTGGTGAAACTACACATCCTGTCAGTCTTGCAATGCCTCATGGGACTTGTAGTTCCACAACAGCTAGTGTGTCCAAGTGGCTTACAGCATGCCTAGCCAGTACAATAAACCAGGGTTGGCAACCTCAGTTGTTGTTGAACTACAAGTCCCATGAGGCGTTGCAAGACTCTAAACAGCCACAGGTATGACTCCCAGAAGCATGCTGCGAATTGTAATTTCACCGCAGCTAAAATGCCCAGCTTGCCTATTCCAGCACAAATGGCAGATGGTTTGGTATTCGGCCCTCCATCCCAGTTTCCTTTACCTGCATTGTAGAAGCGGTCTAGCACAGTAGTCTCCCCGAAGTCGAGCTTTCCGAATTGTAGTGTGTCAAGTGTGGCCCCCTGGCTCTCGCACGCCTCCTGCAGGCTGTGCAGTGCCGCGCTTTCACACGCCTGCATGCCGGAGGTGCCCTCATTGATAACATAGACGACAGTGGTCCTCCGGGTGCTGTTACCACAGGCGGCGGCGGCGGCAGCCGGGGCGATAATGCCTTTGATACAACGACTGGCAGCACCCCCTCCTCCCCCGCCGGCCCCATGGATGTAATCTGCATGCCAGAAGCTGCCAGCTGCGGGCAGCCTGTTGCCACCAGGAGCGGCTGCCGGCCCTGCCTGCCTGTGGCCAGATTTCTCTTCGTGCATGCAGCACCTGGTCTCTGGCAGCCGAGAGACTGGCACAGAGAAAGTAATTCCTTCGCTGCTGTCATTCATGTCTTCGCAATGAGCAGAAAGGGGAAATGCAGCAAGTTCCTCCAACTTGTCCGGCACCCTGCAGGTCTTCCTGGCAATGATCAGCCCAATGGGGGGTAAATCAGACACCCTCCGGCCCCAAATCCGACCTTCTCAGTTCCGCAGGCAGCAGTGCATAGTCCAACACTGGTCACATGCTGGGGGCCCCCCCGAGCCTCCTCTGGACAATGCTTTGTATTATTGGGAGCACTCTTTATATGAAATACAACAAGCAGGCAAGCTTCGTTACACACCAAGCGATCGCAGCTCCCAGCAAGTAGTCAAATAAGAACAAGCCAGCTCTATAGTCTAAGCTCGGTGTGTTTGCAGGTCTGCAGCCTGTTGCTAGTTCAGGGAGCGGAGTGTATACAGTGAGTCCCGGTGGCCCCTGATGGCTGATAACACAGACAGACTGCCTACTGGGCGGGATGATGAGCTTCTTAGCTAAAGAAAGAAAGTATTACACAAGACTCCACGACGAGCGCCAGCCCTTGACTTCTTTCCACACCTCCTGCACACCCTCCCAGCCTGCCTCATACATTCTTGGCTTACTAGGGCTGAATAGTACACAAGATGATCACACAGGAAATAAAGGTGAAACACTACTGGGCAGGAAAGGGTTACTGCTTGCTCATGGTTAACCCTTTCTGGGCCAGAGCCGTTTGTCTGCACACATGTTAAGGAGGATCTGTGGTCAAAAACGAAAAATAAATCTGTATTTCTATATTGAATTTCCAATAGCTCTATCCCACGCCTAATAACCACATTGATCTAGAAGTTTGTAAACATACTTATTGAAGATGCCCATAGGATGTACTTTTTCAATGCAGTGACACAATTTCACTCAGCCCTGTGACTATGCACTTCCTTGTGTCACCACCCTAATTAAGTCTGCCATCAGGAGAGTCTCCATAGTGAGGCAACCCGAGGCGGTAGCACGGCCAACTAGCAGCACCCAAAGCTGACACCTCTCACCTGGCTGACAGCTCCAGCAAGCTGACATCTTAGGACACCGCTCCCCCCTTCTCCTGGCCGCCTCAGGTGGCGGATGAGGTAGGGACGGCCCTGTCTGCCATCTAAACTACAATTCAGCATCTGTAATGTCATTATTGCTTGCTTGGAGCTTGGAAAGAGATGCAAAGCAACCTGGCAATCCAGGAAGCTGACTTTAGAGCTCCTTTAATTGGTGGACTGTGAATGTGCACTTCCTTGTTTCACCAGTCTAACCTAGCATGCAAGCTGAGCTACAACTCAATATCTGAACAATGTAACATCATCATTGCTTTCTGGAAGCAATGTATGATGGGATATGCAGTCTTGAGAAATGGAGATTGCATTGGCAATCCAGAAAGCTGACTGTAGAACTCCTTTAACCTCCCTGGCGGTCTGATTATTTCTTTATTTTTTTCCTTTTTTGTTACTGTTGTTTTTTTTCGTAATTTTTTTTAAATTTCCGCCGGTTCCGCCCCCCCTGTGACGCGGATACTTGCAAGGGACGGAACCCGGAAGACAGATGCCAGAGGACACAGCACGGCTTGAGGGACAAGGTGAGTAACGCTACTGTGTGGCTCGGGGTTACCGCTTATGGTACTGAAAATTAACCCCGAGCCACACTCGGGAATACCGCCAGGAAGGTTAATTAGAGGACTGTGAATGTGCACTTCCTGTGTCACCACTCGAATCAAGCCTGCCGTCGGAACTACAACTTAGCGTCTGAACAATGTAACATTATCATTGCTTGCTGGAAGCAGTGCATTTTGGGCTATGTAGTCTTGAGAAATTGCATCACATCAAACAGCAGGGAAAGAGACACAAAGCACGCTGGGAATCCAGGAGCAGCACTCACTATATAAAAAAAATATAGTTTGTATTCCTATTACAATGCTGATGTTATAACAGGGTAGTGTATGCTGGGACTTTACAACTCCTTTAAAATGCACATTTTAGGCATAATCATTACTTAAAGGAGAACTATGAGGTAAGTGCTTTTCACTCACCTCATAGTTCTAGCCGACCTGTGACAATGAGACTGTCACAGGTCGGCTCAGTAGATCGGGAGGTGAGCGAACACATACCGGCGTTCGCTCACCTCTCGATCCTGTCACGGCTCTCTGCACGCTGAGAGTTCAGGAGAGATAGAGAGACGCTTTGCCTGGATCTGACAGCCAGCGGCTCTCTCCTCACCGCACATGCTGCTGTGACAGCGGCTCCATCCGAATG